AAGGAATCCTTTCTCAACAATTGGGTAAATCCAAACACCCACTTCAACGAAGAATCTTCAAATCACAATCTTCATTCAAAATTGAAGCCAGCAAATGCAACGGATAGTCCATTATGATTCAACGGATAGATTATCCAATCCAGCTATAAATAGCATCCTTGGAAGACTGAAGAGAAGATGATGAGATACGTTGATACAACAACACAACGAAGCAATCACTAAAGCTATCTCATTCACAGTTAGCCCAAAAAGCTTGATAAAGAGAGATTTCTAAACTCCTTATCCAGAAGCAAACTTCTCCTCCTTCCAAAAAGCTATAGTGTAAACACTTGAAGGTTTCCTTGCCTCAAGCACCACACCACGTTGAAGGATATTACTTTTGATCAAACTTATTGATTAAAAGGGGGTAGGTCAACTCTCTTACAAGTTGATCTTGCAAGTCCTATTGTTCGGATCTTGCAGTTGTTGAAGAAGCTTGACCTTCGAAGGAACAACAAAGCCAGCACGAGTGCAGTAGCAACATTGGTCTTGTGAAGATATACCGTGCAGAAATTCACACAAGTGTAACTGTTGGTTCAGTATTCAACAACCAACTACATAGTGGATTTTGAGGACGTAGAAGGATTACCCCACCTTCGAACCTCGTTAAAGTTTGCGTGTCTCTCTCTCTTATCTTTATTCTTACTTGCAATTATATTAACTGTGAAAACTAACCTATCCATATTAATTACTGCTCACTCCACCCACCAAATTCCGCACACAATCTAAAGTTCACAAGGACTCTAGATTAAAACTCATTTTCTCGTTTTCAAAAGAAACGAAAAAGATTTTAAACTTGTAACAAAGTCTATTACCCCCCCTCTAGACTTTGTATTTCACCACTTTGGGACCACCAATTGGTATCGGAGCAGTCTTCTCACTATCTACATTTAGATTAACGAGAAGCGATCAAAATGGTGAACAATATGGATCACGGTTTGCCCAAGTTCTCTCTTCTAGGTAATGATGATTGTAACAAAGTCTATTCACCCCCCCTCTAGACTTTGTATTTCACCACTTTGGGACCACCAGGTTTAATTTCTTCTCAAGAGTAATGTCCAATTCCTCGGATAATAACCATGAAGCTGCCTGAATAAATTTAACATTCCCAATATTAGTCCGAATATGTTGTTTGAGAGGACCATAATCTACTAGGAGACCGAGAAGGACAGAAAGGATTACATCTTCCTCAAACACACTCTCATGGGCAAGATTAAGGGAGGCCACAATACTCATATCATTATCAAGATACATTTGCATAGAATCAATACCTTTTTGCATACCGTGAAGCCGTTCTTCAGTTAAAAAATATTGGTACGAGACAGAAAATTGTACCATTTTTTGAGATGGGTCTAGATATTAAGGGTATGGATGTGATTTTGAACCGTGGGAAAGACAATAATAAGGCACGATTAGGTTTCATAACGGGTGGATCATATTTAGTAGGTTGCACAACTTTTTCATCAAGAACATAGGTGGGAGGAACGAATTTTGTACCATTGATGTAGCCGAGAAGACGGTGGGCAACACGGTTGGCGTGAACCATGGCAGACCAGGATGGATAGTTGGTGCCATCAAGCTTAGCCAGAGTAAGAGATTGAAGATTCCGAATAAAAAGCTTGAGTTTGATAGGGAGATGATGTAACACCCTAGTCCATCCAGGTCTGTAGCCCCTTTTGGACTAAAGCATAAATTTGGCAATCGTAAAACTATAAAATATTTCAAATAAATTTCAATTTTATTTAATAATAAATTATTCAAGATAATAACGGAGTAATTTAATATTGTGGAAGCTTAATTAAACACAATACAAACATAATTAATTCATGTCTTTTTAAAACAGTAATTCCAATTCACGCATCCAGTCCGACCCTCTCGTCCCATCTGCCTCCGGGAACACGTCACCTCATTGTTTTTGTTTACCTGCGTGTAGCAACTAAAACATACTACACGCTCAGCATTGAAGTTGAGTAAGCATGTCTAATGCGTCGAACATTCATATAAATTGAATCTCAATTCATAACAAATCATTTGATATCATGCACATAATGTTTAGTTCAGATATTCAATAACTAACATTCAACATTCAAGATTCCTATTCAACATTCAATGTCAACATTTAACAATATACTTAAAATATGTTTAGTCTAAGGCTAATTCAATTCTAGTTTATCGGAATGCTCACTATCGGGTTGGGTGGTATCACCAAACGAGTGCATCTAGTTTGGTTGTAGATCCCGTATGTACATTTTAACCCAAGCCACCTAGGTATATCTTAGAGTTTTTCTAGATATCCTATAATCGAATTCATTTTATAATCATCAATGTATTCACTTTAAATCATAGTTTAATCATCACTAATCATTTTATATCAGTGGTTTTATCATTCATAATCATCATAGTAATCATTCATCATAACATTCTAACTTACCGTCATGCATCACATAAGGTCTTCTTATTAGTTGTCAGAATATCATTTTTATTCCAAGAAATCATCTTTATATTAATCATAATTGATTCATTTGATTGGTATCAAAAATGGAACTCCATAGTTCAAAAATCATATTTTCTAAACAATAATTGATTAATATATGATGGGAAAATCAATTAATAGCTATCGGCTTCGTCCAACTTTCTCCGAATTGGATTTCGTTTGCACGGTTGCGATCAGACAGTCGAATTTTGTTCAACGATATACTTTTTATATTTATTTGGAATATTTTTTCCGAAATCATAATTTTGGATGTTTGACTTTGACAGAGCCAAAAATTTATTTAATTGACCTTTTTTCAAAAAGGTTCCCTCATTTAATTCATATCATTTATTCCCATGATTTATTTTAACAAATCGTTTCATCACATATTATGTTATCATGATTTGAGTCTGTACTCTGATTTCCAATCAAAACCACCCAAATAGTCAACATATTGGATTTATCTTGATTGTGATATTGAATATCAAAACATATTTTATTTTTCACCCAAAAGCCCAATAACAAATTAATTTAATCAAAACAAATTTTTTTTAATTGAATATTTAATTCAATAAATTTTAAGGTGTGCTTTGAGACAGCGTTACAGACGATCCCTTGGATTTTTTATTGATGGCGGCCTGGTGATCGCCGATCGAAGGGAAGGAACCCTAATTGTAATTTGTTTTCCCGGTGTTATAAAAAGAGAGGGGAGAGAGTCAGGCTCTAGTACCATGTTGAATATTGGAATAATATGTTTACTCAGGGAATAAGGAGAGTAAAAGTACTCCTTCCGTTTGCAAAAAAAGTTCCTACTTTGACTTGGAGCTAAAATAAGGACATGTTAAATTATAGTTGACTTCAAATTTTGTCCCTGATGCGATGAGTAAAAGTAAGATGTGATGGATAGATTATTAGAGAAAAAGTATGATGTGATAGGTAGGATATGAAAAAGTAAGGTTAAAAGTGGTTTTTTAATAAAAAGTGGAAGTGTTTTGTTGGAAGTGAAAAAAAATGAAAGATGAAGTGTTTTTGAGAACAGAGAGAGTAATATATATAAATCTGGAGATCCTGACATGAATTATGATTCTTTCAATATAGTGGCTGATTGACTGATATACTAATACTACCATAAATATAAATACTAGTATAAGTTGCTAAAAGAAACATCTAAAATTGAAAGGGCAAGCTGTTTTATGGGGCGGAAAGAGTTTTATTTTACTCCATTAGTCTAAAAAATTAACTTCTCATTTCTTGTCCAAAAAAAAACTTTCTTACGAGGTCTAACCAACTTTATTTTTCAATTCAATTTATTTGATAAGTGTAGAATTTAAAAATAAAATTTATATTGTTTAAAACTACATCAAAAGCTCTACAAAACAAGAAGAGACATGATAATATTATTTAATTAAATGACTAATTAAAATAAAAAACAATAAATTTGAATGTGGGAATGGAAACTAGGAATATAATTTTAGGATAAAGGGAATAAGTTTTTTACTCCATCCGTTCTCAAAAATACTTCCTCTTTCATTTTTTTTCACTTCCAACAAAACACTTCAACTTTTTATTAAAAAACTACTTTTACCTATCAAATCAAGGGTAAAATTGGAAGTCAATTACAATTTAATACTCCCTCCGTCCTAGAAAGAATGTCACAGTTACTATTCTGGCCTCTCGATAACTTTGTTTGTTAACTCGTTTTGGTTGACCATTTGATAAAATAAAATATTCTTGTCGCATCTTGTTTTGTAGAACTTTTCATATACTTTTGAATGGTGTAATTTTTACTTTTTATTACTCAACCAATTTGAAATTAAAGTAATTTTAAAAGAGATGATATTTTGCACGTCGTTCGAAGTGTTGCAAATAAATTGGGACGGAGGGAGTACTTTCTTATTTTTACACAAAGTCAAAAGAGGAACACTTTTTCCAAACGGAGGGAGTATTTATTAGGGTAAGACTCTACATGACTAAGAAAAGTTGGCATGAAGTGGCCAAAGGAGACCATGTGAATGACCTCACCGCATATATAGTACTCCCTCCGTCCCATAAAGTGTTACGCATTTTGACTAAAGTTGAAATTAAGGTATGAGTAATTTTGTGTTGACTTTCCAAAAATACCCTTGATGTGATGGGTAAAAGTAGGATGTGATGTGTAGATTATTAGGAAAAAGGTATGATGTGATAAGTAGGGTTTGAAAAAGTAAGGGGTAAAAGTGGTTTTTTAATAGAAATAGGTAAGAGATTGTGAGACACAATTTTTTTGAAACATGTAAATCTTTTTGGGACGGAGGGAGTACTCGATAAAAAAACAATGACATCATTTGATTCATGTAGCCGATCCAAACTAGGAGGATAAGACTTCATTATTGTTGCTAGTAGTATTTATTAGGGTAAGCATGCATGATGGCCCCAATGAAAAATAAAAAAAATTAAAAAACCAAACTATTATAAATGGAAAAGGAAAGCATGAGTAGATGTGTGGGCCTATTTGGCTGGTTGATTAAAAACGAATGTTTGAATCAAAGTAGATTAAAAAAAATATAATGTGCTCCTTCAATTGTCTGCCAACAGTGCCAAGCAAAATGGTGCAATAGAATATGATGTAAAAGAATAATTGGGAGTTGTTTATGGACATCTATCCTGTCTTTTGGTTCCTTTCACTGCCAAAAAGGGCCAGACTAATAAAACCCTAAAATATATATATGGTCTCCCTGAATTTGGAATAGAAAAATTTGCAATCTTTAGCTAGCCAACCAGTTGATGTCAAGAACGTATTGACAAAGGGGACACATATTATCTGGAATGCACACTAGTGAAAGCTCAAAAAACATGGACTATAGGGACTTTAATAATTCACCACCACCCCCCACACCCCCACCATCATCTCTATCTTAGCTATGCTAGCTAGATCAGACCAAGTTTTCCAAAAAAAAAAAAACTAATAATATGAACCCCATCCCGGGAGGTCCCCTAGAACCCGAGGATAACTCCTTGAGAAAAGATAAATTGAAAAATGAGTCTAGTTAATGTAACAAAGAATATGGATCTATCATCTATATATGTAGAAACTCAATGATTTGCAAGGAGTTAAAGAATATTTTCCAATATAATACTGTACACAAATCTTGAATGAATTGAACCCTCATACACTTTTAATTTTATGTATATTTTTTGCAAACGAGACTCGGCATACAAATTTGAAGATAAACGGTTGGTTTAAAGTTTCAATTCATGAATGTATGTAAATCTTTAATTATTAGCCATAATTGTTCCTTCGTTAGTATATACTATGTATTACTGTTTTTTTTTAAATGAATTTTTTTGTGCAATTTTTAAAACAAATTAATTAAAAAAAAGAAAGAAATAACATGGGTGTATAACAAAGAAAAGAAATAGCATGGGTGTATAAAAAAAGAAAAAAAATAACATGAGTGTATGGTGTATAATGAAGCATAACAGACTAGCAAGCCCTCATCAGTTGTTGCGTGTCCAATCAATCATTTGAAGTATATATATATATATATATAACTAATGTTGTTTGTCTATACATAATTAATAAAAAAAAACACACACATGATACGGAGTAGATTCCGACTTCTACATTTGTATTTGTCGTCCTCTCACAAGATACGTTAATTAATTTGTGCAAATACGTACGTATATACCCACCGTTAACTGCTATCATCATGTTATTAAATCTGCTGCAAAAACAAATGACTGACTGTGAATGAGAAGAAAAGTCAACCGTCATCACATAAAAATAAAATAACCTACGGAGTACTAAATAAATTAACCAATAATCTTTTTTTTTTGGTTTTTAAACTTAACCCATATATAAACTCCGTATAAAATCTTGCCTACACGTGAGGGCTGTGTTAGAATTTCAAACATTTGACGAGTACTCTACAACCATGTGTTGGAGCATTTGGTTAAATTGGTTCCTTGAAACTTAACTTATCCATTTGTACAAGTTCTACATTACTACTTACATAACCAAAGTATACCTTCCTAATAACATATTTTCCTTAATCATTTATCAAAATAATATAGTTATGTCTTCTTTTATTCTATACTTCATCCGTCTCTAGAAGTCCTTCTCATTTACCAAAATTCTTTCATCCTTTATATTAAAATCACTTTTACAACTACTAATTTTTACCTTACTTATCACATCATATACCTATGATGCATGAAATCTTACTTTGATCTTACATATCACATTAACGATAATTTCGAAAAGTCAACACAAAAATGTTTCTTCTTTAAATCACATAAAAAGGTTTTCCACTCGATCATTTTCATAGAAATTGAATTAAAAATAACTATAATAAAAGATCGTAAACCAAAATTAGAACTTCTTTATGGGAGAGGGAAAGAGTATCATCTAGGCAAAAATCAACCAAGGGAAAGAAATGGCCGGCTTATATTAGCTGAATAATACGGAGTATATTGATATATAATGCATTAATTGATAAACCTTCAAGGTTTGTTGAACAAATTAATATACACAATTCAATCACAAAAGTAGCAAATTAAAGCCACGATGATTTAACTGACGGAAAGACAACCAAATAAGGGTTTAAATATCAATAACTAACGACCCTTTTTCCATGGGATTCTTTTTTTTTTTTTTTTTTGGGAACGAGTGTGGTGGTGACAATATATGGATGACATGGGGTGTATGTATGAATTGAAGTAATGGATTAATAATTAGAAGACTCAGAAACCTCACTGTCGACTTCTCTTCTGTGGAAGTTCCTGTGACAGCCACACGCCGCACAAGTCAGGGCGTCCGCCGTGCCGTCTCCGCCGCAAGGCATGAACTCCCGGCAGCCATCCACCGCGTACCCGCCGATGTTGGCGGCATGGTTTCTCTGGCACTCCACGTAACGGACGCTCGTGCCGCCGCCGGAGACCACGCCGGTGTTCCTTCTCGTTAGATCTTTCCTCACCACAACCTGCCTCTTCTTCATTTCCTCCTTTTCTTCAATAATCTCTTACTCGTCCAACTTATATATAACCAAACCCTAGAAGGGCAGTTTGGGGATTTAATATGGATGAGTTTCCAATTCCTCACACCTAATTAAAACCAGAAGGAATTTTAGGAGTTTGCTGAGAAAAGAAAGAGGAAGGTGAGAAGAATTGGGAATGGGGATGAAAGTTCGTAGGGAAGGGCAAGTGACCCTATACGACATTGTTATATACTGTTTTGTCTCTTACAGATCTGACGTTTATTATTATTCTATTACGGAGTATTATTTTTTTTTTTGAACAACAAATTAATTATTCCATCAACCAATATAGGTGAATATTCATTGGTGTACGTTTACAAGAATATAATAAGATAATTCTATCCTAAATCTAAGATTCACGGGTCTTTACGGACATTATCATACTTATTTTTTAAATAAATTAAAAAATCTTTATCCCAATGGCAAACATATGTGTATATGTTTATTAGATACAACCAGAATTTGTGTCACAGAAAAGTGAATCCTTTACCCCCAAAATCTTCAGAAATTGCACAGCTCCGCCCAGAATATTAAAAAGTGAATCAAATATTTTGCTCAATTCTTCAGATATTGCACGATTAACCCTTTAATATTAAAGAGTGCCTTAAATACTCCTAAACTCTTCTGAAATTGCACAATTTACACATGAACATTTAAATAAACACGATAATTTTGAGGAAGGTACTTCGAAAAATTCACAAAGGCTAGATGAATCATACTCGTAATTCCCATGCGTGGGAGCAACCCACTCCCCATCTAGTATTTTAGGACACCAATGGTGCAATGTTTCAAATTGTTCAGGGGTACTTGGTGCACATTTTAATATTTAGGGGTAAATCATGTAATTTTCAAAGAATTGACGGTAAACGGTGCATTTTTAATGTTCAGAGACAAATCAATCAATTTTCAAAGAGTTCAGGGATAAACAATGAACTTTTTCTCATTTGTGTTATGATAAACTTATTTGTACACCAAATTGCTGTATATAAAGTGTACATAAAGGTATTGAAATATTCTCTCCGTCGCACAATAATGTTATATATTTCTTTTTTCGAAAATCTTTATCATGGTATCAAATCAAATTTTGACCCACCTCGTATGTCAATATGTTCGTCTAGACGTCTATTCTTAGTGGCTCTAGTCTTTAGCATAGTTGTCCATTTGAAATATACACTCTATAACATGTGCCCATTTAACCTGATAGCTTGCTTGGAAGTCTATATCTCGAGGCTCGTGATCGTTTAGACGTTGGTGCTCAAACAAATATTCACAGGGATGAGAATCAATTTGCAAGTGGTCAACTAGTTAAATTCAAAATTTCTAAGTTGTCTACTTGAGGGGCATATTTAAGATGTATATATCCCACATTGGGAATATTTTTTTAGTAATAATGTGCTCTTGAGTTGAGCTGCTAATTGATTCTATTCAATATTTTAGTATGGTTCAGCTCAAGTGTCTTATGACCTAATATAGTGATCATTACAACATCCTAAATTTTATCACCACTTTCAATCATATGATTTCACTTTTCTTAATCTCTGTGTCTGGTCAATTGTGAAACCAGTTGTGTAGCACAACTTGGATAACAGAGAGAAAAACAAAGATTTTGTATCCAAACGTTGTTACCATCCAAGATTGCCTTACAGAAACTGTTACACCCTAATCTGACCAGGCCTAGAACCCCTTTCAAACTAAAGTATCAAATTGTAGAAGCTTAAATAATTGTTTAATCGTATAATAAAATATTCAGAACAATAATAGAGTATATCAAATTGTGGAAGCTTAAATAATTTTTACACATCACAATCATAAAATATAAATAATTCACTTTATTTGAAATATTTATTCATTAGTTGGAAATCACCACACATCCATCTAATATCTCGTCCCCATCTACTGTCAGGATCAACATTACATCATTTCTTATTTTATTCACCTGCATGTAGCAAATAAAATATAGTATACGCCTAGCTATGAAGCTAAGTGAGGATATCTAATGCGTCAAACATCCACACAAATAAAATCATAATTCACGATGATATCATGTGGTATCATGTAAATAATAGGCAGTTTAAATATTCAATATTTATGATATCAATAATACTCTAAAATTATTCTTAGTCTAAGGCTAAATCATAATAGTGCTCTTAAGCAACTCTTAGTTTAAGGCCAAATCATAACAATGCTCATACACTATTCTTAGTCTAAGGTTAATTTATATTATTAACGAAACTCTTAAACTATCATTTAAGGCTATTATATTTTGATACCAAGACTTTTAAACTATATTAATAGTTTAAGGCAAATTTTATAACTGAGACTCTTAAATTATATAAATACTTTAAGGCAAGTATTTTATCCAAGACTCTTAAACTATATAAATAGTTTAAGGAAACCGAGCGGTAGTGTACTCACCGTCTATGCTCTGCTGTATACTCTAAATGCTTTGCTATTTGGGGAGCATCTTATAGAATTTTGTTCCTTCACTTCTAGGGTCAAATTCTCCTTTTCGTTCATGATCTCATAGAACATAACACTTGGTGTAAAAAATATGAAAATGTGGAATGTTTGGTGTTCTTCCGTTTCATAGCTCATAAGGTGTAGCTATATTGCCACTTCTAAAGTACACACTATTAATGATGTAACAAATTATATGAATTACTTCGGTAGAAAACTTTTGAGGAAGAATTTGTGTACTAAAAATGGATCCTTTCTTTCTACAACACTGCTCTCATGTTATGTCTTGGGTGTTGAGAATTCATGTTAAATGCCATGCCAATTTTGTTACAGAATTCACTGAACCATGCATTCTCAAATTCCCATATGTGATCACTATGAAGAATGATTACTATTTTTATTTTCAATTTCTTCTAACTTTTACCTAACTCCACAAGAATGCAAATGCATCAAATGCATAATCGATGTGTTTGAGACTCACCCATGCATGTATATTTTGTGAAGTCATAAATTGCAATGAGAACAAATCATTTTTCTCTAATGCTCTTGGTATTCATGTGATCAATAATATCATTGCAACTAAGTTATAATGGACGGTTAGTAGATTGATATAACTTATTGGGATGACTCTTCTTTACTTGTGTGCCCTTTTGACATGGTCCACACACTTCATGAACTATTCTAGAGATTTATGGCAAGCTTCAAACAACATTATTGTTAAACAGAGTCTTTAGGTCTTTTTAATTGATATGTCCCACAGGGTATGTAGTGCCTTAATTTGATGTCCTTTCTTAAAGTGAGACAAAGTTTACTAGAAGAATTAACTGCGCAAATCTCCGATTTCGACTATGTGGGCCCGCCGTCCTGAAAAATAAAAATATTAGGAAAAATATCTTGATTATGTATTTGCGTTCCATTTATTTTTCCAAGTTCAAAAATGTGATCGGTTTCAAAATCGGACTCCATTTGAAAAACAACCCAAATTTAAACAGATAAACTATTTCTTCTGGAAGAAGAATTTTATCCTAAAACCACATTCACTCCCCCAAAATAATTCCGAGGATTCCCTACCCTCTTCCCCACCATTACCTATTTCTCATCACCACATCTTCTTGTTTAGTGGGTAGCCAACATAGACAAACACCACTCAAACTCACCTCTGATCTCAACTCAATTGGATTGTTATGTCAAACTTGAGAGAGTGTGTATGTAGTGTCTTGATACACCCACTAAAATCCCTGCATATTCTTCAATAAAGGAGACCCGGTATTCTCCATTCCTTCACTTCCATACTTAGAAAAAATACATGCAACCCTTTCTTCTTCCTTTAGCTTCTTTCTACCATTAATGGAGTTTTGGGAAGAAAACTATAGGTACGTGAGTACGTTCCATTCCAATCGATATTATACTCATTTTAACGCTCTTCTCATGCCATACACCTCTGCGATATCAATGTTCAAAGAGAAGACCTCAAGATAAGAAAAGCTAGAAGTAGATAGTGACGTCCGTTCGTTGAACGTACGTGAGGTGTTAAGATCATTGTGTTCCCCTACGAACTCTAAGGTCTGTACCCCAGACTTGTTCCGACATTAGATTCCTTAGAATCATATATAACACATGATTTCATATGCCTACATGTCATTCTATGTTAGTTATACCGATAGTTTTGATAAAATGCTCAACTTGATATCCATGAATCATCGATATCGGAGAAAGCTCGAAATTGTGCCAAAAAGACTATAATATGCCTAACCAACTTGGTGATTTACATTATATTATATACAATCAATATATACACTTTTGGAACCATCCCGTAACTTAAAACGGACTCAAAAACACTAAAAATAAATGTTTTTTACTAGAAAAACACTAATACAAAAAAAATTAAATGATTCGATCACCCAACGTTCCAACTCAAATTTTGGCCATTTTTCGATATTGTATGGATGATAAATGTTTGGTGTTGGTTTGATTGACTTATAACCATATTTTAACTTCCAAAAATACTTAAAATGAATGTTTTGGACTATAAGAAGTCTAATACCAAATGATATCATTGGACGAGTTAAACTAGAAGAATTATAGTACTATATTATGTGGTTAAAACTCGAGTTTCTAACATGATCCATTCCATGAATATGATTAATTGATGTCTAATGATTAAATGGATATTATGGACGATATTATGTTGGGGACTTTATCGTAAAACTTTATATGCTCGAATCCGTAAAAGTGATTATTTTGATGGTGACACTAATAACCAAAAAGGTATTTTTGGATATTTTAAATCTAGATTATTTCTAGTGGAAAATAGTATGGATTTGAGTCTATAGATGTGGGCGATATTAGGAGTTGAGTATGTACATACATAAGGTCCTAGAACCGGTCAGGCACCCGGGGATCACTCAACCCGTGGGTTCAGAACCAAAAGAGTATTTATACCCAGACTGGGAAAGGCCACGGAACAAATTCTGAACCTAAGGAGAAGGGCGCTTGGACCTAGACTTAGACAGGGGAAGTCTTATAGAGCCTACCTCTACGGAGAACGACTCAGTATGGCGTGAGGTTAAAACATAAATGATTGAGAATAAGAGATGTCACTATTATCGTATAGTGATTGGTTAAATGAAGGATGTTGATTTACTCTTAGATATGGTTTATTTTCTATTAGAGATACTCTCTCAATGAAATGACGGAACAATAACGATTTATCAATCTGTGAATAAAGTGTATTTGGAAATAATACTCTTGTTTTAATAAGTACTTTGGATATGTATTATTATACGAAGAGATGCTCTTACACCTTGTCATAAAACAAAAAAAGTTAGAATTTTATAATTAAAGGTTTCACAGAAAATAATAAAAACAAGTGAATTTTCTTAAATAAAAGAGTTTAAAATGGGTATTGATTCCCATATATGTGAATGTGTTTTATGAATAATTTTACGAAATCTACGTTGTGGTACCACTCAGCGCTTTCACTAAGCGCATAGTTGTCTTCGTTGTGTGATTGTGCGTAGGTAATAAGCTAAGGCGTCCATCTGGAAGATGCTGAGGCGGGAAAGTTGGTAGTAGGATGCGGGAACTGTTCAAATATATCCTCTTACTCTACAAAACCTACATCCATGTAACAACCCTCTATTGAACCTTAAAAAATTACACCTGTCACTCACAAATTCGGCCGCGCTTTTAACCCAAATGACCTTTGAGGTTGACTTTATGGCTCGTTAGACCTTCTCCAAAATCTTCTTCAATGACGTGTTATAATCATATTCTTATACAGCAAGGTACTCAACTTTTGGATTGGTGTTACAATAGATTGCCTTAAAATGTATGTTATTCTTTAATGAATCACCATGATTCCACGATAGAATTGGGCTTCAAAACATCATGCAAAAAAGTTTGTACTTGCGGAGAATATATTCTCATAGTTGCACTGCCTTTATCTCTCTCTCTCTCTCTCTCTCTCGTGTATATTCAATATTTGTTTACTGTGTGAGGATTTAGATACATAACATTGTAAAATCCTTTGTAGACTTTGGTCAAGGTACTTCGAATGTCTGTCTGTATAGGACTGGGGTCTGAGATCATATGCATAACCTTTATGTTAATCGGAAAACCTGATAGAACTAGATTAGGAATCCTTTCATGCTGAGCATGTTTGCAATAAACGTTGAAAAATATCCAATTCATATTTTGTAAAAGAATACTTTGAACAACACAGGAATCCTTCTTTTACCAAGTTTAAATCTTTGGGGCAAAATGGCAAAGACATTTTCAGGATGTCAGACACAATGCTACAATTCTTAATCTATTCAAAAAGAAAAAAATTAGCCAACTAATCACAGTAAACCTACTTGTTTGTGAAAAATCAAAGCCAACGAGAGTTTACATAGAAAAGTCTAAAAGAAGTAAATTGAGCAATATAAGGAACTAATAAAATAAAATACAAGGCAATTTTGGCTCATGATCTACCCCATAAATTTTTTAAATAAAACACAAAGATATCCATATATAGTAAAATCTAATTAAAGAGAAAGATATTTACCTTCTAGGATGGCTGAGTTTGGGGTAGGAGGCTCCAAGACTATTTGCTATATGGTAGAATACCTGAGATGGGTGACTCAATGACTCAAGGTGGGGCTCTAGGGCTTAAGAGTGAGAAACGTCATTTTTCTCATAGAACAAGCTCTCCATGTAGGTTTCCTCATTTGAAGCTTCATCTTCCTCCTCTTTAGCATCAGGGAAGTGGTCAAAGAAGTGAGTCTCCTGGGCTAAATTTTCTTTCTCTCATTTTGCTTGTTTGATAAATATAATGTTTGTCCTTGGATCCTTACAAAGATGGAATCCCAGCTGGGTCTGAGGTGAAGGGTAGCTTGGGAACACAAGAGTGCTTAAAGACATTGGCAAACCGTACTTGCACCCCTTTAGAAAAACAATACAAAACATGTTGCAGTCTCATTTCTCCACCTCATTGGGAACGATTTTGAAAAGCATTTTCTTGGAGTTTAGGAGACTCTAACGAAAGAAATTCCACCCAAAGAGAAGAGGTGGTGGGACTCATGGGTCGCTAGCTCATTCATCTCAGTGTAGTAGAGGACGATGAAAACGATCGTTTGGTGAGCATTTGTTGTGATTTGGCCTAGAGGGATAAAATGGCATTGCCAGATCTCCTACATCAAGGGATGGGTGAGAAAACAAATATTGGCTTTTGCTTAGTGGTAGCGGGTGAAAACCGAAAATTAAGGAAGCAAAATATCAGCAAGATGAATGTTGTGGGTGCAAAGAAGAGAGCAAGAAAAGCCCAATTTCTCATGCATCTTCTCCATTTTAGCTCTACAGACCAATGATTTTTCAGGTTTCTAGACATCTATATTTTTGTGCAGGTGCTGCCGGGGGTTTCTTGGAAACAGCCTCCCTACTTCCGAGTAGGGGCAAGGTCTGCGTACACACACCCTCCTCAGACCCTAATGTTGTGGGATTTACCTGGGTTGTTGTTGTTACTTAAGGATTAAGGAAAGGAAGACAGTAATTTTTGGGGGATGGGGATAAAAAATGTCCTTAAGGGTTCTTGCAGAGAATTTTACAGGGTAAATATTTGGAAAGTGAAGAGAATAGGTTTAAATACTAGAGCTTGAAACTAGAGGGGCGCAAGCATGCATAATCCTTATGCATTGAGGATGAACAACATTAGTGATAAAGATAGTAATAAATGTAATTTGGAATTTATTTTCCTCTGTGGCAGTGTCGCATGTGGCATTGGAAAAGGAAGAAATGGACATTGCGCTAGTTGAAGTTGTCCAAATTGATTTTTATTATTGTAATTTATTAACAAGCAATATCCATTTGGTAAGGCTCCCACAAAAAAAACTAGGGGCTTGTGAGTGGATGAGTATATTGGGTTTTGATGATTATTAATGTAACAATTCCAAAATACATGTCACACCCAATGAAGAGGCTCAGATGACCGTATCACTTCAAAAAAAGTGGGAAGTACAGACAGATTCCTAGAGACAAAAACATTATATATCGCTAAAAAGAGAGGATTACCAACGTATAATATTATTTGATGGTAAAAAATATTTAACACACACAATGCAGGTCTAACCCGCAAGCTAAATAGGTGCTTTGACATCATTTGAAGTATTTATTTATTATATTAGTGAGATAAATATTTTTTATTTTTGAAAACTAAATTTTTTTAAAATTACTGTGAAAACATCCATGTGAACTTTGTGCACCTCACGTTCATCATACACTTTTAATTAGGGCTCTATTCTTCTGGGTTCTAACTCTTTATAGTTTTTACTAAATCCTTCTAGTTTCTTTAAACTCCTTCCAGTTTCTTCCACCATCGACTAAAGAGCTTATTTAGGTATACTTTTTTACATTATTATTATTATTATTATTATTATTATTGTTTCTGTTGTTGTTATAATAATAATAATAATAATCTAAATAATTAGTGTTCTTATTATTATTCTTATTATTAGTACATTCATCCCTGATCATTTGTCTAATTTTAACCTTTTGTAGTCACAGTTGACAAACTTTGACCATGAATTTGTTAGGACACACTCCCATCACTAGAGAGGGTGAAAAGTAACGCACAAGAATATTGATAATTTTTCATAGAATAAAACTCGCAAGGATAAAGTGCGGAATTAAAAACATAAGGAAAGAGCACACCAATTTTATACTGGTTCACCAAAACTTGTGGCTAATATAGTCTCCCAAGAGACTCTCTTGACCTACTGATAAACTCGTTTTATACATAGTTTTATCCTCACATTTAACACATTTTTTATACATAAGAGTAACTTTTCATCTTATTAAAGAATATTATTCATTTAAAACTTATTTTTTATGTTTAGAGTAGTAAAATTGAATGGGCCAAGAAAAGAAAAAAATGTTTAATTTCGACAAGAAATTAAGTATATCTTCATATTAGAGTGGAATTTGAAGTCGGAGCAGGAGGAAAATGTGTTCAGAATCATGTTTGAAGCAAAACAGGAGAAAAATGGGCGCAGGTACGACATGCAGCCGCCTACCAGGCCGCCTACCGAATTCAAACAAACAGCGAAATGGGCTCCAACGGAAAAGGTAGGCACAGGCGGCGAGTTTAGGCTCTGGCGGGCTAGCAGGAGCCCGCTTGCTTGCCCGCTTGTCGACATTCCCAATGTTCGCGATTCCAAAATGGCGGCGGCGGGCTGACACGCAGCTGCTTGTCTTCCCGCCTTCGGTTCTTCTTCCCCTATAAAAACATGGCACGACAACCTTTCCTCACGAAGCCATCTCCATTCCGTTTTTCCATTTTTAGAGGTGGAAATTTCCTTTTATTCACTTCCAAATATTATATTAAATTTGTGTTATCTAATTTTCATTGTCAAAAGTCAATCTCTCACCTTTGGAGCACTGTAAGTTTTTATAATTCTTCATTGTACTTGCGGTTGATCTCTTAATAATAATATTTATTTTTATTTCCAATGTTGATGATGAATGATATATCTTTTATATTTCTATATGTTATGATGATATTGATTGATTTATTTAAGATTATGAATTGGTAATTTTACATGGGTTAAGATTTGGAATAAGGATTTAACCAATTTAATTTTATCTTTTATTTAGTAATTGGGTTTATTGTTAGAAAATGAAATTAATATTAATTATATTAATTATTAAAATTGTTTATATTACTAATTAATCTTTGGGAATTAATCTTTTATCTTGTCTATGAGGTAATAAGATTAATTAAGCCATACATTCCGAACACCTAGAAATAGGCAGGGTTAGAAATAACCGTTTGGAATGGTTTAAACTAATTAATAATAGTAAACAGTTTAGTAATTAAATAATTGGAAAATAGTTCTTGCCTTGTCCATGAGAATTTAGAATTATTGAAGCCGAGCATTTTCTAACACAGTACTAAGATCTAGAAATAGGAGACGTACTTGAAATAAAATAGTCGTATAATTAATACTAAGACCTAGAAATATGAGATGTATTAAATATAAGATTAGAATTTATGTTTTATATCGTGACCTAGAAATAGGAGACATATTAAACATAAGTGTTATACATTTCATTAATCCAATTGTTAATTAAAGATAAGTTATATTGTGTTAAGTCCGCGTTCCGATCTTAACTCCTAAAGTTACTTTATCATTTATTTTTAGTCACTTTATTTCTTATTTATTCGCATCTCTTAGACTAAAAATTTACCTAAGATAAATTTTAAAATTAACTATTCCTTTCGTCACTCTTGGAGAGAACGACCCGAGTCTAACTCGGTTATTTGTTGACTTACCGCTATACATAGTTCGTCACCTACACTACTTTCGTTAAGCTTATGCGTGCTTATAAAACCACTACAATCTGAGAACTTGATCGCTCGTAGATTTACCTTTTACAAGACTTCAACCGCTCAGACTCCTCACCCAAGACATTAACCACTAAGATTACGGGTTTTTAGCAAACTAAACGCTCAATGAGAGGAATTGATATTCTCAAACCTCTCTCTTATATTAAGATCTCTCTAGAAAGAGTAGATAAAGAGATACAATGAAAGCTCAATGAACAATACAAAGTTATCTCAAAAATGGCTCAACAAAATTAAAGCTCTAAATTTGATGCACATATGATATGAATATAAGGATAAAGAATGGAAGGTGTTTTTGTTATAAAAACAAGGCCAAGATCTCTATTTATAGGGGTTAAAGAGTGGTGATTGTTCCTAGAGATCCAACTTCTTCACCCAAAAATACAATGGTTGACAGCACAATGAACAAAATTTGGCAGATTTTCAAGAAGGAGACAACGAAGAAGAAGCAAGCTAGAAATCCATGACTGCTGAATTACCAAAGATCTGAAGAGGAAGTGCAAATCTCTTAAGATTGATAATGGAAGCACTAAGAAGATGAAGAGTTCTAGAGCTACTGTCTCCCCCTCAAAGTCTTAGCATGCCACTAGGAGAAACACTGCAGTAATCTCTCAGAACATTATCTTACTTAGTCATATCCCTCCTTTCACAAAGTTTTTGTTAGAGGGAAACTGTATGATTTTTCTCCAGCCGTGATAAATGAATTCCCGGACACCAAGCCCAACTCTAGTGAGGTAAGTCTTGATGAACATGTTATTTGGGAAGATCTAACTACTGGGAAGAGAAAGTCATAATCCCATAAGTCCAAGATTGGATCATTCATCTTGAAGAGTTCTTATGGCATTTTTTCTCAGGGTTGCAACTTATCATTGGCTGCCCACTACAAATACTAACACTATGCCTCTGTGCATGGCAACCTTACTCTTCAAGATCAAACATGTCATTACTTTTAATCTTGGCAAACTGATTTTTGAACAGATCCTTGTTTTTGTAGGCTTAGACATGGGGTATCCAGTCTTTTTATAATATTAGTTGAGGCGGTCAAGTCTGTTAGACAAGCCCGTTAGTCGTATATTAATTACTTACTTAGGGTCGCCCAATCAGTTATGTCGGCCCATTGTTTTGTATATGGGCTCAAACCCTAACCTTAACTCCCCTATTTATACCCCTCTTCTTGGAAGAGGAAGAAGGGGGAAGGAGGCACAATACATACATACCACACACTATTCATCATCTTCTTCATACATTTTCTCCTTCTTCTCTAACTATGGATTCCATAATCCAACAATGGTTCTTTCATTGAGAGTGTCGAACACATGAAACATGCTCTCAAAAAAAACAAAAAAAAAATTAACCAAATTATTCCTATTCTATCTTTTTTTTTGTTTTTTTCAAAGATTCATCTTGAAACTGAATCCTCCGATTTTCTTTGGGGAGACTACACAAACTTACGGATTTCTTAAAAAAATCGATGAAGAAGAAACTTGAAACTAGATCATGGCGAGGTTAGTCTCTCGCCACCTCGTCGAACGAGGTCATTGACACTGGAGCACAGCGCCGCTCTTGGCTCCGGAGTTCCAGACGAATGCTTGTTTATCTCAACTATCTGTATTTATTATTTTTAGCATATTATCACTATCATCATTGCTATCATTTACTCTATTATTATTACCATTACCTTGTTCCCCACGTGTGATCGCACCTCACCCAGAGGATGGTACTACACTTTGTGTTCAACACTTTAAGCCCTGATGTGGGACAGGTGTGAAGCTTAATCGAACACCCCGCACAGGCCAACGACCTGCATCACCACATGGCTTAGATCCAACTCATTTGTTCATTCCTTAACGAGGCCGGGTAAAACCTCTCTACGAGATGTTCAAGAATGTCCGCGACGAAATTCTCGCGAGGCCGAGGTAAGACGTCCACCGTGACGCACTCCCATCCGTCTTTCACGATGCGGTCCTTTTTCCTCTTCTACGAGGCCGAGGTAAGTCCTTCCCACAACACTATTCATCATCTTCTTCATACATTTTCTCCTTCTTCTCTAACTATGGATTCCATAATCCAACAGTAGGTGATAATCATAAGGTGAACTCCATTAGGTTACCTTATCCCCTTCTTATTTATCATTTGTTAAAGGCAAATGGGTTTCATAAAAGGAGATTAAAGAAGAAGAGCATGTCCCACCACTTCTCCAGATTGACTCGAAATACTTCAAGGCAAGCATTACAATGACATGGTCATCACCCAGGTCAAGGGTATCCCTCACACATCACTAGCATATGATGTCTCTTAAGTAGCTTTCATAGAGGCTGAGATAACGATTTTGGAGGAAAAGATTTCGAGTCATTAAAGGATAATTGAAAGAGCTGAAAAAAACAAGACCCAACTACAAGTTGTGCTAAGTTGTGCTCTGTACCTTAAGAGGGATACATGTTGACAAACAAAGTGAAGCTGCATCTCAGGGGGGGCATCTCTGCTGAGTGCTTGTGATGAAGGAGACTCAATCAAGATGCCACTATAAGAGAGGCTAGTGATCAAGATGAAGAAGAATCTTATTTTGAGAAAGAGCTTCACAGATATAATATGTTCGATGAAGCACAACTTGACACCTAATTTAGGTGTGGGTTTTAAATTTAAACAAACATTTCTTTTTTTCCTAAGACTGCTTTTATGGGGTTGTTCTGCCCCTCTTATGACTAACTGTTTATTTTGCTTGTGCTACTTGCTAGGATATGTGTGTGATACTCTTTGGTTTATTTTTGAGAAGACACATGGGTTTTTCTTTTTAAATGTTTTACCAACTTTTGGTATTTTGTGCTTTATGTTTTCTAGAGATGACGTAATGAAGGTACAATGTTTTCCTTGGTATTAGGGCTTCTTGTACACACTCTTGCTATTTTTTCGGGATATTACTCTTCTCTGCTTTCCCAACATTTTGTAAGCAATACAAATACTTTGGCATTTCTTTTCTACAAAAAAGGGGGAGAAGAGGCTCAAACAGCTGAGTGTTCGTTTTTGTTAAAAAATTACCAAAGGGGGAGATTGTTGGTTGTATCCCTTTCACTGTGTTGTTGTACACTTCTTTTGGCATTATTTTTTGACAAACAAATAGGTCTTTGTTGTTATCTTTGTCGTTTTGTTGTGCTGTTGAAACCTGTATGTCATCTCCATGTCATGTTAGTTAAAAGTTACCTTGACTAGAAGTTCTCCTGGAAACTTTTTGTGATGCGAATAGCTCTCCAAGGCAAAGTGGCTATTGGGAAGGATAAGTTTATTGGTGCGGAAGTTTTGTGCTGCGTTTTTATCTCTTCGCAAATAGGAGACTTCTAGATGAACTCTAATAGGGTTGATTGGTTCTACTATGTATATTGTGAATTGGACTTTGAATAGGGGAGAAGAGCCGAGAGAGAACTACAAACAGGAAATTTTATCATAAATCGAGATTATGCAATATGGACATATCATAGCATGGTGATGAGAGCATGACGTTCAAATCAAAGCTCCATCTTAAGCTAGTATATAATTCGTAAAGTACTAACGACTGATCTAATCCATAAGGTGAGTATGTGGTTGTTCTAGAGGTAGGCTGAAAGCACGTCTTTGAAGTCAGACTTGAAGAAGTGTGATACGCCTAAAAAAAGACTCGTACATGTTGTAATGCATGAGTTCAACCCTTTCTGTGTTGTTAAGTGTTGACTCACAGGTTTTGATAATTGACAAACACACTTTATCCAAGTCAAGATCAAAGTGCTACAACGACACACACGAATACTTGAAGTTCCATTCCTTGAAGTATTCAAGAAAGTGTACAGGATTTTGTTGAAGTCCGAGACGCGTTCGGAGCGCCTAACGGAGGACTCGGAGGAGTAGAAGCTTTCCGAAGATTTTTTATTTATTTGAGTCTTAGGAATTATTATAAGGATGATAAAAATAATCTTCTCTATAAAAATAATTTTATGAGAGTTAAAATAAAAATTATATTTATTTTT